GGAGGTGTGTTAAATCATGATGCAAACCAAGAGAGACCAGCGGGAACAGTGTAGCAAACTGGCAACTAATCTACTGTGAAGAGATTTCTATTAGTGTTGCTCTCATCCACAGAGGAACAGAGGATTATTCTTTAGGTCGAATATCTACAGCACAGCAATCTGCTGGGCCCTTTCCAAGACTTGGTTACTGTGATATTCCCTGAGGGGTGTTTCTGGGTCACAGTATTTCAGTGGCGTCATCGTTAGATCTTCATGTGGCGTTTGTTCATCTGGTAAAAGGACACTTTGTGTTGGTAGCCATGGCGGTGGGGTGGGGGAGGCGGGGGTGACTGGTTGAGTTTGCAGGAGGAAGTTGTGCGTGTTGCAGTGACTAACGCCCCGCGCGTGAGAGGAGCTGAGCTGCGTGTAAGCTGCACACTAACCCCACTGCGTGTGTGTGTGTGCCTGCTGCCACTGTACTCTCACTCAGCACCCTGCTGTCTGTGGGCACCCACAGCATCACTCTGCGTCAGAGGGGGAGAGGGAACGAAGGAAAGACAGGAGAGGAAAGAAGGGGAAAGGGAAGTAGTAGGGATGAGGGAAGCAGGAAGGAGCACAAAGCGAGACAGACGAAGGGAATTCCCCAACGAGACGGAGACGCACAGTGGGATGACGCTGACCTCTGACCTCTCGTGGCAGGGTGCTGCCCAGCCTCGGTGCAATCTCACCCCCCACACCCCCGTCCCCCTCTCCCCTGCCCCGGCGCAGCTTTTAACTTCCGTAAAAGATCTTCTCTTTCCCTCTCCGGAACGACCAAGCCCTCTCTTCCTTGCCTGCCACGAGCACGTGGCGCCTCCTGTTACCCAAGATGCTTTGTGCCATGGCTGCGAGGCGCCTGGCCCCTCCCAACCAGTCCCACAAGCGCCGGCTCCGTGTCCACTCAGGTAAGGCGCCCCGTTTTCTCCTGGGGTGGAGTGACCTAATTCCTTACTTATATAGCACTTCTCTGGACGCTCCACTCAAAGTGCTGTACAGGTCATGGGGAATCCCACTACCACCACCAGTGTGCAGCCCCACCTGGATGAGGCGCCAGTCCGCTCCCCACACACCAGCTCTCAGTGGGGAGGAGAGCAGAGGGATGGAGCCAGTTCAGAGAGGGGGGT